ATCATGATTAATTAAAGAAAATTTATTGGAACCTCTGATGAGAGCTGGAGAAACGAGGAATCTTAGCGTTACCTGACACCATCTCAATACCTTTTAAATGGGTTAGGTCAAATTATCATTGACTAATGATGATGGGCTGTAGCATCATGGTTGAAAGTATCCCCGTTCGTTTGCTGCCAACAAAGAAAAGAAAAAGTAGTGCCGCACATTTACCCCATTAATGAAACGAGGAACTTTATTTGGCCTTTGATTTTTAGTAGGCTTAACGAATTACAGTTATTTACATTAATTTTAATGGGAAAAGTTGTGGCGCACGGGTTGTTCACCATACAAGTTGTTCACCGTAAGAGTTTTTTCACAGTATGAGTTGTTCACCATACAAGTTGTTCAACGTACGAGTTGTTCACCGTACGAGTTGTTCATCATACGAGTTGCTCACCATGCAAGTTTTTCACCATACAAGTTTTTCACCGTACGAGTTTTTCACCATTCGAGTTGTTCCCCATACAAGTTGTTGATCGTACGAGTTGTTCACCGTAGGAGCTGTTCACCATATAAGTTGTTGACCGTACGAGTTGTTCACCGTACGAGTTGTTCACCATACAAGTTGTTTACCATACAAGTTGTTCACCATACGAGTTGTTCCCCATACAAGTTGTTGATCGTACGAGTTGTTCACCGTACGAGCTGTTCACCATATAAGTTGTTCACCGTACGAGTTGTTCACCGTACGAGCTGTTCACCATATAAGTTGTTCACCGTACGAGTTGTTCACCTCTCAAGTTGTTCACCATACAAGTTGTTGACCATACAAGTTGTTCACCATATGAAAGCTCAGTCCAGACTGGAAGAACTTTGTATCCTGACATTACACTGTATGTGCCGTCTCCACAATGAAAGTAGTTGTAGTTGATATGGGCATGTACTGCTTGTCTTTGGACATGTGTGGTGAGGCCCCAGTTTTTTTCTGCTGTGAAACTGTGATACCACTGCCTCATCTAGGGTTGGGAAATATGCTAACTAACCTCTGAGCCACAGAACTGTACAGGTGACCAGGAATGCTTTTTATGGGCGGGTTTTTGGGAAACTTTAACACATATATTTTTTGACACACATGTCAGACAGTTCTAGTAACATTTATGTACATTCACATTTTGTTGTAGTTTAAAGGCATGAGATTAGAAAGAATATTTTAACTCATTCCAGACCAGTTGATTGTTTAGGAATTGTCTGGAAGATCTAGTTGTTAACATTAAGTCTGATATTGTCTACTGCAGTTACTGCACACAATTTGATCAAGTTGATGACATCATTCCTGCTGACCGTTGGATAACACTGGATGAACTGCTGGTTTGGACACTGCCTTTTCTAGTGGACAACATGAAATACAGTTCATCAGTGTTGTCCGATGGTCAGCAGGAACGATGTCATCAACTTGGTCAATGCTGTGTGCAGTAACTACAGGAGACCGACGATCAGTCAGCTTTGCATCAGCCATTGAGAAATAATCTACTTCTGCTTCGCCACAAGGTACCCAGTGTAGAACAGTGCTAAAGACACTTTTGAATCTCTATAATCATTCTTCAAACACATGTGGATGCAAATTGGGGTCTCGCCTTCAGCATTAAGGAATTCTGTGGCATTACATAGTTGACGGGCTACTTGAGCTAGTCAAGCAGAACTAACTTTGCAGCTTAAAAGAAAGAAAGAAAGCTTGTATAGCGCTGCCATGCCAACACAGGATGTCATTCAAAGTTAATTAGGCATTCTTCGGGGTAGGTGGGGCCCGACAGCTGGGGACAGCAGGCCACCTATGAGGAGGATACTCTGAAATTAAAACTACCACTGCCCGGTGGTCAGGCCTTGGTTAGTTTTGGGCTAAGGAGGCACATCCCGACAGAAAAACACATTGAAGACAGAGGCACCAAGTCAAAAGGCACAGATAGTATGGGAGAATATTTCCCCACAAACATGCCGCCACACATATATTCTTCATCATCAGTTCTCGTTATGCCTAGTGGCACATGAGGCTTCAGAGAGGACTTTCCATGCTTTCCTGTCCTGTGCAAGCTTCAGTGCAGTTTTCCATGTCAAAGATGCCGCACTCAGGTCACTCTCCATCGTTCGTCTCCATGTTGTTTTTGGGCGCCCATGTTTTCTCTTTCCCTCTGGTGTCCATGTCCATGCATATATTCTTGATTGTCAGAAAACCCTGGCATGGCACCATAAAATGCTGAGCATGTGCTGCGGCACTGTCAACTGTATGCTGCCAACAGAGACACAATCTGACCTGTTCCAATCACGATGAAGACAAAACTATGGTACACAGGGCGATATGGACCGCACGATAGCTTTCATAACGGGTACTGGCCTCCTGATACAACTTTTCTGACAGAAGGATCAAAAAAGAAATATAAAACATAGTTTTAACCTTATGTATTTGGAAGCCGTTTTAAAAACCTTTACAGTAGTGCCATCTGTTACTGAAACAGTTTGATAATTCTATAGATAGTGCATGATGCTGACCACATCACCCATCTTGTGCCGTCGGTCTATAAAAATATAGGTCTAGCCCTATATGCCCTATACGCCTAAAGGCGTCGAAAAGGGTCCATTACTTTACATACTTATAGACAGTGCAGAAGAGTGTTTGAGAAATCCTGCTAAACTTACAAATTGCACAAATTGTGGGTGTATGTGTGTGTGTGTTTATATATATACACACACACACACACACACACACATATATATATATATATGTGCATGCACGTGTATATTTTAAGGATTTTCCCCTTGGTTAAATTATCTATATTTAGTGCAGTAATAAATTCTTGGCCACCTCAAAAGATGAATATGATGGTGTATTTTTTTAAAATTCATTTTTGTGAAGGATAAACAGATATTCTGTGTCATTATACCAGCAGTTTAGTCAACTGCTAGAGATTATGTTTTCACTGCAAGTAATATAAGTAATGTAACTCTCTCTCTCTCTCTCTCTCTCTCTCTCTCTCTCTCTCTCTCTCTCTCTCTCTCTCTCTCTCTCTCTCTCTCTCTCTCTCTCTCTCTGTCTGTCCCCCTTTATCTCTCCCACCCTATAGATCAATGTGTCTTTTTCCTTTTATCTGGAAGTTAAAACACTTTTCTTTTTATGTTTAATGGCTTTTCCAGGTAAACAGTCAATAAACATTTTTTTTATATTTTTTTCCCTGAAAGTAGATTATGTAACTCTCTCCCTCTCTCTGTCTGTCCCCCTTTCCCCCTTTATCTCTCCCGCCCTCTTCATTCCCTTCTACCACAACATCTGAAGTAGATGACCCTTTTATTAACCTGTTGAGTACATTATTTTCATCGCTTAGGGAACAGTGAGATTGTTCGAATTACTGTCCCTACCCTCCACCTTGCTCAAGTCAGTCAGCATTGTGTAACTAGCAAACGTCACCATCACAAAGTTTAGGGAGCCCTATGTTGGTGAAAATAAGAATAGACCAACTGCGCCCCTCCCCCGGCCCCCCCACCCAGCAGTCATGCCATAAAAGGAGGTTAATTAGGATTGTGCTGAAAACGCATGTGTTGGACCGAAAGGCACAAATATAGTAGCGAAGCTAGTCACCTATTTGTGGGTGAATGCAGATGAAGAACTAGGTACAATCTTCATTTGACTACTGAACTAGACCAGTCTCCTCTACCCATTAAAGTAGGTTAGACTTACTTGCTTAATCGTTGGTCCTCTTCTACACTGTGGTGTAGAGGTTTGCCAGAGAGATGACCAGACTTCTCTGTCAGGATGTTTGTTTTTGGCTGTGTTCCATTCCGGTCCTCTGTCAGTTAAAGACATGTGTTATCATGTGTTGTCTTCCCAGAGAACCCTGGGTTGTCTTGGAGATCTGGTTGCCTGGTTATTTGCCTCCCATGCCAGCTGCGTACATTTCCAAATCATCATAACTGACCCATCCACTTCAGTTAGGTCAGACCTGACCATGGACTTTTTAAACCTGAGTTATCTGAACCATTTTCTTTTTTTTTTTTTCTTCCTTTAAAAACAAAACAAAAATTTCAACAATAAAATAAGAAATTTTTAAGCAGACCTAGCTAAATAAGAGCTTTTTCTTTCTTCAAAAACAAGACTTAACTCCATAAACTAGATAGGAACCTTTTATAAGAACTGGACTGTCACAGACGCTCTTGTCACATCTGGAACTGGGTTACTTCAAGTCTGAGGCTAAGTCCACCAATAGCCACTGTCAGTAACATTGGGTTACTTCAAGTCTGAGGCTAAGTTCACCAATAGCCACTGTAAGTAACACTGGGTTACTTTTAGTCTGAGGCTAAGTCCACCAATAGCCACTGTCAGTAACACTGGGTTACTTCAAGTCTGAGGCTGTCCACCAATAGCCACTGTCAGTAACACTGGGTTACTTCAAGTCTGAGGCTAAATCCAACAATAGCCACTGTCAGTAACATTGGGTTACTTCAAGTCTGAGGCTAAGTCCACCAATAGCCACTGTCAGTAACACTGGGTTACTTCAAGTCTGAGACTAAATCCACCAATAGCCACTGTCAGTAACACTGGGTTACTTCAAGTCTGAGGTTAAGTCCACCAATAGCCACTGTCAGTAACATTAGGTTACTTCAAGTCTGAGGCTAAGTCCACCAATAGCTACTGTCAGTAATACTGGGTTACTTCAAGTCTGAGGCCAAGTCTACCAATAGCCGCTGTCAGTAACACTGGGTTCTAGTAGTTGTCATAATCAAGACATTTTCGTTTTGTTGGGAAGGGTGGTATTGAGGTTTCTGTACGTAGAGACGAGTAATTATCAGGTTTCTGTGTGTTGAGACAGGTAATTGTGAGGTTTCTGTCCGTTGAGGCAGGTAATTGTAAGGTTTCACTCGATTGAGACAGGTAATTGTAAGGTTTCACTCCGTTGAGACAGGTAATTGTGAGGTTTCTGTCATCCTGTAAATACCTGTAGTAAGTGGATATCTTCCCTTACATATTTCAGGGTTCTGCTGCCTCTGCTGCTGTGACAAGCACCCCGGCTGACTCCACTCAAGCACTGGTGACAACCACAAGTCCAGCCACCCCAGCCAACCAGGCAGGAGTTGCAAATGTCCAGGGCCCACAGCCCCAGCACATCCAGCAGTACTATCAGCTGTCGGGTGAGATACAAGACTCCTTGGACTTACTGTCGGAGCCTAAACCCACAGAGTTTTATACGAATGAGTTTAATAATGGGGAGTTTAACGAGGCAAAACCCTTGGCAGATTTACTGTTGAACCCGAACATGGTTGGATACAGTCAGGATGGGGTGGTGTACTCGCAGACCCAACCGGTGCTGAGTACGAGTCAGATGATAGCTCATGCTTACAGCCATGCTCAGCAGATGTCTTCAGCTCCAGTTTTCAGTCAGGTGGTGTCCAGTACAAACAATTTCCCACAAACCCTACCAGCTCAGGTGGCGGGGAACGTGAGTGTTGCCGTCGTCAACTCCAACCAGGGGCAAGAGGTTGCAGCCAATCCTGGTGGTCAACAGACTCAAACGATTGAGGTCAACGGCCAGCAGGTGCAAGCCCAATTGGTCACCCAGGCACAGATGACAGCTCAGCAGGTGCAGAATTACGCGGAGGCATACGCTGCTCAGGTGAGCGCTGACTCGATTGTCCAGCAGCAGGGTGATCAGGTGGTCACTTTCTCACTGGCCGGTGGTCAGAACATGATCATAGCTTCTCCACATGGCCATCAGTCTGGTCAGAACTATGTGATTCATTCCCAGGGTGCCCAGCACGGTCAGAATATTGTTATAGCAGGGCCAGGACAGCAAACCATCTCCGGGAACTTCATTGTGAAAACCGAAGTAGAAGACCTCGGTCATAACATTGTGCTCACGCAGCAGAATCTGCAGCAGGCCCTAGGCCAGAATGTAATCCTGACTCCGGATGGGCACTTAACTACGGCGGGGGGCGAAAGTGTTGTCCTGACCACGGCAGATGGTCAGCAGAGACAGATTCAAGCCACCAGACAAATCCAGCCTGCTCATCAACAGCAGCACCAGCAGCTGATTGCCCAGGGCATCCCAATACAAACAGCTGGAGCACATCTTCCTCAGGTGTCTCTGGTTCTGCCTCAGGTTAACTCTTTATTCCCACAGATCCAGACCTCCACAGCAACCATCTCCCCTCAGGCGTTTCTCCAGTTGTGTGCCAAAGTGGACAAATTGACCACCATGATTAAAGAATCTCAGAACATTTTGTTTGAAATAAGCAAGAAGGTGGAGAGAATAGAAAACTGCCTTTTCCCTCAACCGGTGGCTATATCAGCAGCAGTGCCGTCAAAGATCAATAAGAGCAAGCCCAAGCTGTTAGTGCCAGGAAGTTCTACTCCAGCCCAGACTACAAATGGCAACACAACTATTACCAAGGCAAGCCTGAAGGCTGCTTTACCCAACTATCTGACCATATCAGACTACACAGCTACAGATGAGCTGAAACGTAGTGACTCTAATTCTGACCTGTTCATTCCCGTGGGAACCGTTTCCATGGTCCAGGGTCAGGGAATGATGGAGGCACCTAGTCCCAGCGACACTCCCGAGACAGCCTCAAGCACAGTCCAGGAGCTTCCATCCGAGCATGATCTTATCCCAGTTGTCTTGGCAAATCAAGTCACTGCAGCGTCCGACATCAATGTCCCCATTATTGATAGCCAAAGTGGTATTGCCGTCACGGTCTATGATGAAGGCAGTGAGAATCAGAAGTTTGAACTGGGTCCTGGCAGTAGCAAGGAGCCCAATGCCAGATTCTCAAACACCTCCAACAATCCTAAAACAGTCATACTTGACCCCCGTTTCTGGGACATCCTGGTAGAAGACTTTCAGAAGAACATGAGCTCCGATCAGATCATCTCAGCCATGTCGTCAACACGCAAGCCTCTAGTTAGAAGTATCGGGACTTCAGAGATCAGCATCTGTTCGACTATTCTGAAGGAAGCAGAAGCAGCTTGCCAAGGGCGCCGGGAACGCCTAGCAAAGGAACTGGTGTTCAGAATCTTCACTCTGGGAGAGGTATACGACCGAAACGTCTCCGGTGTGTTCTACATCAACGGGAAGAAAATGGAAAACAAGAACAAGGCTTTAGATCCGGCCAAGATGGCGGCTATCCATTACCTGGTGATGAAGTATCCGCCCAGTGTTGTGGATAACCCCAGGCTGGAGCGGTTGGTGTGGAAGAACTGTGTGGATAGGATCAATGATGCCTTGAGGAGGATTTACAACTGGATTCATAAGATTGTGGATGTTAACAACATCATGGACAAACTGCCAACCGACAGTATCATGATGCATTAATGATCCTATTTCTGTGGCCGCAGGCCGACGCCTTCTGCTTCTCCTTGCATTCGCCAGCTGTAAACTCAAAGCAGAAAGTTCTGGTTGCTTGCCCACTTCTGGACTATGTGGTCTTGATCCAGGAATTGAGTGTTGCGTGTGCATCCGCTTTACAGATGTGGAATATTTGTGTGTTGAGTGTTGGTTCCTTGCCTCTCAGGCACATGCACTCTTGTCTTCGAAGAAAACAGGAAGAAACTTCATTCACATCTTGTTGGTCAGACTGCCTGTTGGGAACCTGTTTCTGTGATGAGCACTGAGAGATCTAGATAGGTTTGTGGTCAGCATGGGTCCTGGCCCTGGTTCACCAGCATGTGTGGTTTAACCAAACTGCATCCAGTTCGGTACCATATAGAGGCTATGATTTCAGCACTTCATCTGTAATCAATGGCAGACTGCTACAGCCTAGACTATGTGTCCATCAGAGATGACTGTCTGTCAAATATTTATTTAGTAACCAACACTAGACTGTTGCTGTTTATTCCATGATAAGTTGGTCATAAATGGCAGATTGACTTTCTTTATTCCATTGAGCATCAGGCATATTTCAGAGGAATTCATTAACCGTTAGTTGCTGTTTCAACTTTTCGGCAAGCAGGGTACCCCAAAACTGCTCCAGTTTCAATGGGAAACCACACATAATGCGTAGCACTATCCCGTTTTAAAATAAGTGAAGCAGATCAGTCATGGCCAGATTTGGCGGCTTAGCTTGCCTTATACATTTACAGCATGTGTGAGCAGCCAGATTTTGTCCGGACTGATCTGCTTCACATATGCCAACACCAGTAATCCGCCACTAGAAGTGCAGTTCATCAGAGCTATTCTTTTCAAGTTGTGCTGTAAACTGGTTGTTTAGCAACAGAACATTTTTATTCTGTTCATATCAGAATTGATTCTTCCTTTAGTTGTGTTGAGTAATCGCCGCAACTGAGCTCCAATCGCATTCATTGTATTAGACAATCAGTGTAATAATATGTGAGGGTGTTTTCACTTCGACAGTGATACTAACATTTCTGCAGCGGTTTCTGAATGAGCCACAAGATGCATAATTACTTATGACATCAGGTGATAAGTGCTCATACCAAAAATTTTAAAACAAACTTAATTAAATTTTGTGATGTGTTAGTTATTTTATTTTTTGTGTGTGCTGTTGGACACATTGACAGAATCCTAACTCACTCTCCAGTGATGTAAATTTGTGAACTGTTACTAGCATTTCAAATGTACCTTTGTAAGTTCTTACAGTGTGGCATCCGTGTTTTAATTTGATGACACACACATAATATTCATTATATTACGTGGTGTTTTTCTTTTCTTTTTATGTATATGTCTTAGTGTGTCTAGTGTTGAGATATTTCTGTTCAGATTGCCTGCTAGTCTACCAGCTGGGGAGTATACTTGTTCCTCTCTAACTCTGAGACCTTATTGTGTTTCCCTCAGTCTGAGACCTTATTGTATTTCTCTCAGTCTGAGACCTTATTGTATTTCTCTCAGTCTGAGACCTTATTGTATTTCTCTCAGTCTGAGACCTTGTTGTATTTCTCTCAGTCTGAGACCTTATTGTGTTTCTCTCAGTCTAAGACCTTATTGTATTTCTCTCAGTCTGAGACCTTGTTGTATTTCTCTGTCTAAGACCTTATTGTGTTTCTCTCAGTCTGAGACCTTGTTGTGTTTCCCTCAGTCTGAGACCTTATTGTATTTCTCTCGGTCTGAGACCTTATTGTATTTCTCTCAGTCTGAGACCTTATTGTGTTTCCCTCAGTCTGAGACCTTATTGTATTTCTCTCAGTCTGAGACCTTATTGTATTTCTCTCGGTCTGAGACCTTACTGTGTTTCCCTCAATCTGAGACCTTATTGTGTTTCTCTCAGTCTGAGACCTTATTGTATTTCTCTCAATCTTAGACCTTATTGTGTTTCCCGCAGTCTTAGACCTTATTGTGTTTCCCCCAGTCTGAGACCTTATTGTATTTCCCTCAGTCTGAGACCTTAATGTGTTTCTCTCATCTGAGACCTTATTGTGTTTCCCTCAGTCTGAGACCTTATTGTGTTTCCCTCAGTCTTAGACCTTATTGTGTTTCCCTCAGTCTTAGACCTTATTGTGTTTCCCCCAGTCTGAGACCTTATTGTATTTCTCTCATCTGAGACCTTATTGTGTTTCCCTCAGTCTGAGACCTTATTGTGTTTCTCTCAGTCTGAGACCTTATTGTGTTTCCCTCAGTCTGAGACCTTATTGTGTTTTCCTCAGTCTGAGACCTTGTTGTATTTCCCTCAGTCTGAGACCTTACTGTGTTTCCCTCAGTCTGAGACCTTATTGTGTTTCTCTCAGTCTGAGACCTTATTGTGTTTCCCTCAGTCTGAGACCTTATTGTGTTTCTCTCAGTCTGAGACCTTATTGTGTTTCCCTCAGTCTGAGACCTTATTGTGTTTTCCTCAGTCTGAGACCTTGTTGTATTTCCCTCAGTCTGAGACCTTAATGTGTTTCCCTCAGTCTGAGACCTTATTGTGTTTCTCTCAGTCTGAGACCTTATTGTATTTCTCTCAGTCTAAGACCTTATTGTATTTCTCTCAGTCTGAGACCTTGTTGTATTTCTCTCAGTCTGAGACCTTATTGTATTTCTCTCAGTCTGAGACCTTGTTGTATTTCTCTCAGTCTGAGACCTTATTGTGTTTCTCTCAGTCTGAGACCTTATTGTATTTCTCTCAGTCTGAGACCTTATTGTATTTCTCTTAGTCTAAGACCTTATTGTATTTCTCTCAGTCTAAGACCTTATTGTGTTTCTCTCAGTCTGAGACCTTAATGTGTTTCCCTCAGTCTGAGACCTTAATGTGTTTCCCTCAGTCTGAGACCTTATTGTGTTTTCCTCAGTCTTGAGACCTTGTTGTATTTCTCTGTCTAAGACCTTATTGTATTTCTCTCATCTGAGACCTTATTGTGTTTCCCTCAGTCTGAGACCTTGTTGTATTTCTCTCAGTCTGAGACCTTATTGTATTTCTCTCAGTCTGAGACCTTGTTGTATTTCTCTCAGTCTGAGACCTTATTGTATTTCTCTCAGTCTGAGACCTTGTTGTATTTCTCTCAGTCTGAGACCTTATTGTATTTCTCTCAGTCTGAGACCTTATTGTGTTTCCCTCAGTCTGAGACCTTATTGTATTTCTCTCAGTCTGAGACCTTATTGTATTTCTCTCGGTCTGAGACCTTACTGTGTTTCCCTCAATCTGAGACCTTCAGTTGTGTATTTCTCTCAATCTCATTGTGTTTCCCTCAGTCTTAGACCTTATTTGTTTCCCCCAGTCTGAGACCTTATTGTATTTCCCTCAGTCTGAGACCTTAATGTGTTTTCTCATCTCAGTCTGAGACCTTATTTGTTTCCCTCAGTTTTTCCCTCAGTCTTAGACCTTATTGTGTTTCCCCCAGTCTGAGACCTTATTGTATTTCTCTCATCTGAGACTTATTTTATTGTGTTTCTCTCCTCAGTCTGAGACCTTATTGTGTTTTCCTCAGTCTGAGACCTTGTTGTATTTCCCTCAGTCTGAGACCTTTACTGTGTTTTGAGACCTTATTGTGTTTCTCTCAGTCTGAGACCTTATTGTGTTTCCCTCAGTCTGAGACCTTATTGTGTTTCTCTCAGTCTGAGACCTTATTGTGTTTCCCTCAGTCTGAGACCTTATTGTGTTTTCCTCAGTCTGAGACCTTATTTCCCTGTGAGTTTCCCTCAGTCTGAGACCTTGAGACCTTATTGTATTTCTCTCAGTCTCTTATTGTATTTCTCTCAGTCTGAGACCTTATTGTGAGACCTTATTTCCTCTCTCTGAGACCTTGTTGTCTCTGAGACCTTATTGTGTTTCTCTCAGTCTGAGACCTTATTGTATTTCTCTCAGTCTGAGACCTTATTGTATTTCTCTTAGTCTAAGACCTTATTGTATTTCTCTCAGTCTAAGACCTTATTGTGTTTCTCTCCTGAGACCTTAATGTGTTTCCCTCAGTCTGAGACCTTAATGTGTTTCCCTCAGTCTACTTATGTGTCAGTTCTTGAGACATTGTTGTATTTTCTCTGTCTCATTTCTCTCATCTGAACTCCTGTATCAGTCTGATACTGTCTGAGACCTACAGTCAGATCTGATACCTTGTTGTATTTCTCTCAGTCTGAGAATTGTATTTTTCAGTCTGAGATGTATTTCTCTCAGTCTGAGACCTTAATTTCTCTCAGTCTGAGACCTTATTGTGTTTCCCTCAGTCTGAGACCTTATTGTATTTCTCTCAGTCTGAGACCTTATTGTATTTCTCTTGGTCTGAGACCTTATTGTGTTTCCTCCGGTCTGAGACCTTGTTGTAGTTCCCCATTCTAACCATTAAAAATACTTTATTTGTTAATTTGTTCTAAAGGGAATCATGAGCATTTTCCAGGCTCGATTGATTCTTCATAAAACTCATTATACTCTGCATCTGTACATTTTGCACAAAAGCCTTTTTAAATATGTACCATCAATGTGCATTTAATGGAGATAAGCCAACAGATAGAACATGGATTCTAGACAATATGTGCAATTATACTCGTTTTTCTTGGTAAACATGAGGGTGTTTTACCTGCTTGTTTTATATAAATTTGATGCTTTTTATGCACTATATAGCTTTTTGTTGAATAGTTGACATATTTTTTGTTTGTTTTGTTTTTTTAGAAGAATTTTGTTTTGTGATAGTGAACGTTTGTGATAGTTGTCACAATAATGTGGTCATTGTTGTATTGTCCTGCTGGTTTTGGTCAAATTCTTTTTTGGGTGGTGTGATTTTTCTGGCCACGCTGGCTAGATACACATATAATTGTAGTGGGAAAAATATGGAAGGCAGCAGTAATAGATCAAACATGTGACATTTCATTTCCTGCATTCCTGGCATGCCAGAAAGGTTAATTAATCTATTAATAGTTTACTTTTTTGGTCTAGATTTGTTGATGTGATTTGT